GCAACCTCGACCTGCTGGGCTCCGGCGATCCTTCCGCCTCAGTCTTCCAAGTAGCTGGAATTACAGGCATGCGCTACCATGCCTAGCTGATTTTTTGACTTATTGTAGAGGTGAGGTCTCGCTGTCCAGGTGGGTCTCGAACCCGCGGGCTCAGGCAATCCACTCACCTCAGCCTCCCAAAGGTGCGGGATTACAGGCTGAGCCACCGAGCCTGGCTAATACTCCCTATTTTCAAAAGGAATTTCAGGCAGAAATACAATAAGTACAAGTAATAAATACATGTAATAAATTTAACAGAATATCACCAAGAGAGGACAAATTCGAGTTCGAAATAAAGAGAAAGCATGTATGCTAATTCTGATATTAACACAGCTACAATGATGGAGTAGAAAATTTTTGCTCCAAGTTTCCAGAAAACCTTGGCTTTTATTACATTGGCTAAGTCATTTTTCAGAATTATAAAGCATATTAATTCCTCAGAGTACATAGTTTTTCTTGTATAAATTCTGGAAAATTTATGTGATGTCTTCCACAACAGCTTTAGAGAAAATGCAGAAGTAGATTAATTTTTACAGTTACTTCTTTTGTTGACTTCAGAAAAAACCGAAAGTATAACATTCAAGTTTAACTCAGAGAAGATAGTTTTTCTGAGTCTAAAAACAATGTAATGTAGTAACTTGGTTGCCACTAACCTTAAAATTTCTTCTGGTTCTATTTCATCAGTGAACACATTCTCAGCATCCTTTCTTCTTTTGCAAAAAACGTAAGATAATTTATTGCCTACAAACCTGTAGAGAGTATTGTTGGAATCTTCAAATTCCAATTCCTTTTCATTTTTGAATAGCTTAATTCCTACTGGTTCAAATACTTTATGATCCATTAGAACTTGGCAAAGACTGACTCCTTTAAGACGAGAGATGTTATTGTTACTTAGGCTCATGTTTTGCATAAGATGACTTAATACTACATCAACAGCATCAGAACCAGTAAAACAGTCTTTGTATGTTCGTAAATGATGCCTCCTTTTTTTAATTTCCACTTGGGTCTGAAGGGAGTGAATAATACCATTCCATAGCTGAGTAGCTTGAAAAGGACCAGTACATCCTGAAAAAAATTAAATACATGTTTCTAGCAAATTAAAACCACACAAAAGTATGTAAGTTTTTCAGTTTTGACAACCTTATGCTAAATTTTGATGGCATATTTGCTGGTAATGTCTTTAAGTTTCCTCTCCCATCTTCTGAAAACCATAATATACTTACTAAATATATAATCATCAAAAATCATAATATATTTACTAAATATATTTGCACCATACTGGTGTGCCAAAAAAATGCAGTAAACCTAGGAATTAGTTTTGCTGACGCAAACTATATTATTATGTGAACTTATCTACTATTATTACATGATTAACTATTAGCTATATTTAGTCTTGAAGATCACTTCAGGAATGCAAATATGGTACATATGAGTCTTGATTATTACAGAGATGTGGCTTCACCAAGCTCTTTGTTTTTTCTTTCTTCCTTTTGCTTCTTTGAACAATGGCAAGCCCTTCATCAAAGAGATGTAGGCAAGTAACTGAATAAAATGAATCAATTTGTCTGTCAGATGTTCTTGCTTAAAAAAATTTGCCGAACAATAAAACCGAGGGTCACACCGCCATGTCGTCGAACATAACCCAATTATCCAAATTATAAGCAAAACTACCAAACATTGTAGAAATACTGGGCTCTGGAAAGCACTCCCTCTGTTGTTCCTGAATAAAGGGTTTAGTTAGATAAAGATGTGCCTTATCACATAAGGAACTTATTCTCCAAATAAAAAAACTCCTACTCCTTGGAGAGAAAAAAAAAAAGCTTGCTGGAAAATAATGAAAACCCCAAAACAATAAAAGCGTCCATTACCTGGAAAATAGTTAAAGAAAGTATGATACAGCCTTATATAGAATAGTAAGCAGCCATGAGAAAGAATGAAGTAGAGCTATGAGGTATGGCTATGGTATAGCACGGAAGGATCTCATTAAGTAGGAAAAAAAATCCCCAAAACTAAAATACCATGGAGTTGAGCAGAGCAATTTGCATGTTATGATTCTACTTAGGTAAAAATGAATCCCCAGTCTACACAAGTGTATGCAAATAAACAGAAAGATCTGGAAGGATAAACTTCAAACCTTTGGGAAGTAGGATTGTAATGGTGGTTGATGGAGTATGTTCATTTTTTTATTCTGTATGTTTCTGAATTTGTATAATACATGTAAATAGAAATTATGTATATATTTAAATATATACATTTAAATTTATATATTTAAATGAATAAATACATACATTTATTTTTAAAATTAATCGGAGACAGTAAAAATTCACCCTTTAAAGTATACAATTTGGGCCAGGCGTTATCCCAGCACTTTGGGAAACCCAGGCAGGAGGACTGCTTTGAGCCTAGGAGTTTGAGACCAGCCTAGGCAACATAGCAAGATCTCGACTTTAAAAGAAATAAAATCAAAAAATTAGTTGAGTGTGGTGACGTGTGCCTGTAGCTCCAGCTACTCAGGAGGCTGAGGTGGAAGGATCACCTGAGCCCAGGAGGTTGAGGGTGTGGTGATCTGGGTGACAGAGTGAGGCTACGACTAAAAAACAAACAAAAAAGTGTACAATTCAATGTTTTAAAACATTTTCAAAGTTGTGCAACCACCATATTCTAATTTCAGACCATCCTATCACCCCAAAAAGAAATCCACAGTTAGATCCATAGTCACTCCCCATTGCCCTCTGCCCCAAGAAAATTTTAATTAACATTTGTAAAGGATAATAAAGGAATACTTGGACCTCTAGAATGTTGTTTCTAGACATTTTGAAGAGTAGAATTCAATAATTTAAGCTCTCTTCTCCCTTGACTCTGGATAACTGGAAAAAGCATGTCCAATTTTGCTTAATAGCCTGATGTTAATGACAAAATGATCAAAGCAAAACTCCATCACACTTAAATTCCCTTTGTAACAGAAGTTGTCTGCCTGTCCCCTTAGAAACCTTAGCCCCAGACACTACGGACAGAGCAGAGACAGAGGAAGGGCAGGCCATTGTGGGGGGGTGGGGGGTGGGTGCTCAACAGGGTGGAGGAGGCTGAGAGGTTATGACCAGTGGAGATCGGCTATTTTCTTTCTTTCTTTTTTGGTGAGTTGGAGCCTCACTCTGTCGCCCAGGCTGGAATTCAGTGGCATGCTCACAACCACTGCGGCCTCGACCTGCAGGGCTCCGGCGACCCTTTCGCCTCAACCTTCCAAGGAGCCGGAACCCCAGGCGCTCGCTACCACGCCCGGCTCACTTTTGATTTACTGTAGAGACATGGTCTCGCCGCGTTGCCCGGGCGGGTCTCGAACCCGCCGGCTCAGGCAACCCACTCGCCTCGGCCTCTCCAAGTGCTGGGATGACAGGCTGAGCCACCGTGCCCGGTCAGAGACCGGCTGTTTTCCACGGGCGATCTATCTTCTCCAGCCCTCGTTCTACAAGTAGGCTAGCTGAAAGAAACAGTCGTTGAGCTCAGGCAACTGGCATCCTCGTTCGTCAACCCCTCCTGGCTCAAGTGCAGCCCGGGGAGCAGCAGCGCGGGTGTCACCTGTGAATTCCCTAAAAGGCAGCGTCAGACCCTCCTTTGGAAACGGGCTCTGCAAGTAACAAGAACCTCAGGCACATTAAAGCTTGAGAAGCACTGCTGTCCGGGACCCCCGGAGCAGCCCTGGAAAGGCTGAGTCGGGGTCCCCAGGACGGGAGCCCGCAGAGCCGGAGGGGGCGGGGCCAGGGAGGGGGCGGGGCCCGAAGGTGCAAAGTCCAAACCACCGCTCCCCTCACTCCCCTCCACCTTCACCACCTCCTTGGCTGGGGTCTGTAGGCCCACCTGTCCTCCTTTTCCGGCAGGAGCCGCCTCTGGGGGCCCCGGAGCCCGGCCCGTTCAGTCCCGGGCCCGCCAGCTCGTTCTGGCTGCCCAGTCTGCGAAACCGCGGAGTCAAAAGAACCGCCATGAGCTCTCCCGCCGCTTCCGTCCCCGGCGCGCGGCCCCGCCCCCACCTGACTCCCGGGGGCGGGGGGGCCCGGGCCCCGCCCCTTCCGAGCCAGCAGGAAGTGACGTCACTCCCGGCCGGCAGGTGTCTCCGCCTTCTTCCCCCTCCCTCGCTCCTCGTCCCGGTCCTTCCCCTCCCCTCCCCTCTCCCTCTCCCTCTCCGGCTCCGGCCTGCGCGGCCGCGGGGCGTTCGGGGCTACCGAGTGAGCCGGCGGCCGCGGCCGGGCGCGG